GGCCAGAGCCTCAGTGTGGTAAAATTGACAGCTTCCTGCTGACAACAACATAAACCCCGCCTGCGCCCAGCACTGCTGCTTGCTCACTGCCGGATCACACAGAGATGCATCACATAGCCTACACAGCTACCCCTCCTCCCCTGAGTGAAGGGGCAGGGACTGAAAGCAAGTAGTGTATGTGTTAGTAATTGAGTATATAACCAAATTGCTTTTCAGTACGGTCAGTAAGAAATCTAAATGCAAGGATGCACTAGAAATAACCTAGAAATTATACTAAAAAATATGCTGAAGCCACTGGTTTATACAGAAGATTAATATCCGAAGAATAAAATATAATAGTGGACTTGTTTTACTGCCATTTCAACTCAGCTATTACAATAAAAGTATTATTTTTCATTATAGAGTGGACATTTCCCTCTATAGTCTGAATTAATTAACACCAGGTCAGCATATTAAATCGGAGGCAAGCTAGCAACTTTAAACAGGAAGCTGTGCAAAACATGTGATTGATGTGGAAAACAGATAAACACCTAAAAGATTAAATTTTTTGGAAGAAGGTGCAAATGGGAGAACTTTTGCTCTAAAACTTTTGCTGGTGCTAAATGGTGCTGGTGCTGAATAATAAATATTGGTCAACAGAACAATGCAGATTTGTTTTGAGCTTAACGTGTCTAAGATGTTAATCAAGCAAGAGACATAATGTCATGCATTGCCTATAATAGAACTTGGTCTTTGTATATTTTTCCTTGCATGCTATTCTGATGGAACATAAACAGGGCACAGTGAAAACTGAAAAAAAAAAAGAAAATCCTATAATTCCATTGTCAACATCATACAATAACCATAAGACGTGGCTGTGTGGTAAGTACTTTTTTCAGTGTCATAATAACCATAAACACAAGGTGAGGATAAACCTTACATACTGTACATTAAATAAGAAGAGCAGTAGGTTTTGAAAGTGTTTTGAAAGTATTCTGCTGGCTTCCATAGTTGCTCAACCTGAACCCTGGTAGAATGTTATGGAATCATCTTGACCGAGAACAAAGAGTACAAGCAAATGTACAGTATGAGATGAGAGCCGATTCAGAATGAATGAGAAAAAATTCAGACTGTGTCTAAGCTGTCTGCCAGAAGGTGTAAATGCGATTACTGACAAGCAGGAATAATTTGGTAAGACATACATTCACCAGCTATCCATCACGATCAAGGCAGATTGGCTTGCATAAACCAGATTGAGACTGATAAACTCATCTTCACACTCTCTGGAAGGTGGAAACGTGTTGTCTTTGAAGAGATCAGGTTTGGTACTGCATTATCCTGTCATAGTGAACTCTTTGCCCATGCCCTCCTTTTCCTTCATTCTGACACCATTTGGACTCAAAATTTTGGGTTCCTTCCCCAAGATTGTTCTTCCACCTGGTTCAGTCAAAGACTACAACTTCCCAGCAACTGACGCTGATGGTGCATTTATCATACCTTTGACACAACTTACGGATTTGAAATCTTTTGATGTAATTGTCTTGGTTAAGCTAGGGGAAGGTTTTTAGAATATCCCCAGTAGACTGTTCATATTTTAGCCACGTACAGAAAAGTAGGAATGATTATTTTTGTGTCATTTTAAAAGTTGTGTTACTCAAACACCTGCTTCTTCCTGTGGCCAAAGGCTGCTGTCACAGATTTCATTAGATAAAATGAAGGGTAGCATTCTGTGAATGATAAACTCACTAGACTCAACCTGTGTTCTAAACTTGTCTCTTAATTGGTGAGCCATTATTATTACGGTTGTGGTTGTATTCAGTATGATTGCCAGGCGACTCTAGAATTTTAACTGCTAGTTATAATTCAAGAAATTTACGTAGATTCTGACGACAACCATGACTTTTGACTGGATATCAAATACACCTTCAGACTCCTTCCATTACCAGTTTCATGTAATGTATACATGCACTAAATACACTAAAGGTACTGTAGTAATTGCCTGGATACTGTACTTCAGGAGAGTAAAGCTGATAATGGATATCTACAGTATATTTTACCGAGGTACAAATTAAGACACAAACTTTAATGTTAGAAAGAAGTATTGCCTCTACTTTTATACTTTATTCATGAAGACAGATCCACAACAGAGATGACTTTATTGACTGGGTTTTTTCAGGGTTTATTGAGTCCAAAGTACTTCTTTCACCACAGAGTCACAGTTTTCAGTCATAAACTGGTATTCAATAAGAGTACATCACAAAAACCTCATCAGTCAATTAAAAAGACGTTTCTTATTTTTAGTTATATTTCCTTTGCATGTTGTAAACTATACTTCCTAACAGAAGGAACTATAAGAGAAACATACCGTATACAGTATGTACTCATTCTAATACAATTTATTTAAAGAGTTTTTATTTTGATGGCATATTCACTCAGAAACAGTGAAAACTAAAGCCACAGGACACCCACAGTACATACTGTATGAGCTCTTCATTTAGCAGAAGACTTTTCAATGGATAAAATGTAAGATCGCAAGAGATACTGGGAAACAATTGGAACATGCATGACTTACCATAAAGTGGAAGGTTGACTCGTCAGAGTTGTGCATCTTCACAATCACATTGATTTTATTCAGAGCGAACCATAGACATACAGTACTCCTGGACATTGCACATCTATTGCCAGCACTGTTCTGATGCATGAAACAGGAATCAATGCTTGTTGATTTTCAAAGATATCACTACTCTTGTGAACACGTTTGCTGAGATGTAATGACATTAAATAGGTTTTTGTACCATCAAAGCAGAAAATATAAAAATAAAGCTCCTTTTGCTGGAGGATATACTGTACAATATAAGGTTTAGTGTTCAACCCATGGTTATTTAGCTTTCTTTCTCCACCACATAAACTCCAGATCCCATTTCCCACGGCATAAAAATCCATTAACACTAATAGACTGCAGTATATGCAAATGAATCTTTCTCAAATGTCAGTCAAACAAATCATTAGTGAAATGAAGAATAAATGTACAGTATTTGCATACCAGGAGAGAAGCAGAGAAGTTAAATTGGTTTAAATTCAAAAGCCTTTTCTAAACATTGTTGTTTGACAAAGCTCTACAGAATGTCTGATCTGAAATCAATTCTTTATTTGAGAAATTATTTTTGCAGGAACTGTGAAACAACATAAAACCTCAAATATGAACTTTTTTTTTCTAAATTTGTGACAGGAAAAAACAAATCCATCACTAAAACAGCTGGTTTAGCTTTCTGTCACCGTATGGCATGGGGAGATATCAACAAATTTATCTTCCTACACAGTGGGTTAAAAATTATAATGCTGTAACAGTATCCAAAAACTCTCAGCAGTTATTCTGCTGTCATAATGGTCATGATGGAAAGGCACAGTTACAGTACATAACTCACATTTTGTTTACCAGTACATGGCTTTCATTGTCAATTATTTCTGTTATTTAAACAACAATCCTGTCTCTGTAACTGGAAATATAGCATTAATGAATTATTTGACACAACGGGATTCCTTCATTCCAGAAAATGCCATCTGCAGGAAAATCTTCCATTTGAATGTATCCATCCATCCATTTTCTAAATACTTTTTCCAGTTCAAGGCTGTGGGGGAGCTAGAGCCTATTTTGACAAGCCACAGACAAGCCCTGGATGGAGTGCCAGTCTATCACAGAGCAGACAGACACAAACACAGACACGTACACACTCACACCAGGACTAGTTTTCCCAGAAGCCAATTAACCTACCAGTATGCCTTGGGGCTGTGGGAGGAAACCAGGTACCTGCAGGAAACCCATGTGAACATAGGGAGAACATACTGTACAAACTCCACACAGATAGCATGCCCTGTCCAGAATTGAACCCAGGGCCCCAGCGATGCACAGCAGTGATGCTAACTACTGTGCCACCATGTCTCCACAAACTAGTATTTGTTACAGCTATAAACCACTCTTTTTTTAAGTATACTGTATTAAATTTTGTTTGCTCGTGTAATGATACTGCTACTGTAGCTCTTATCCTGCCTTCTTCTGAGCTTCATACCACACCTCTCTGGGCTGTGCGGAGTTCCCTTTCAGCTTCATATTGGGGGATGGTTTCCCATCCCTACAGTATACAGTATGAGTGCAAACAGTACAGATTGGTGACAGATTTTTCTTTGGAGGTAATAACAGTTTTCCTTTCATAGTACTGTTAAATTATTGCAGTCAATTTTTACTTGTCTCTTTATTACATACATCTGATTTCAGCTGATGGTATTCATTGACCCAAATATACAGAAGCTTTGATTCCTTCTAGAGCGATGACATTTATTTGAAGTACCTTGGGAGAAACCTACTTATTATAGACTTTAGCATGACTATATTCACTGTGAATTTAGTCTCATGCAGATTCTGAAACTATAACTGTATATCTTTTGGAATCGGTGCAAACAAAAGTATGGCAGTTTATTCTGAATAATGTTGATAAGACAATACAGTACAGTATGTAAGAATCTCTACAGTCTAAATTTAGCTAATTAAGATGACAGGACTTTCCTTTTAACAATATATTTGTACATTATGTAATTATGTAATGGTAAATTAGTCATAGTGGCTACTAATTCTTTTTTCTTTAAAATTTGAGGGCAGAGTATTATGCATTATACAGCACATTATAAGTTAATTTAGTGTATTTTCTATATAAAGGCAATATAAGTAGAAGTAAAAAAATGTAATTTTTTCATGTATATTTCCCATCTAATAATCATAGTTTTAATTTTTAATTGTGGAATGTACTGTACAGATCAAAGAACATACTGCATATAATAAAATCAAAGGGAATATACCGTATGAGTAAATATATTTCATCTCGTTAAAATAACACCAGAGGCTCTTGCTGCAGGGAACACTTGACTTGAGCTAGGAGCAGGTGTAATGCAGAAAAGGAGGCGTAAAAGCGCTGAGAATCCTCCTTACGTCACCGGGAGTCAAGCCTCCGAGGGACGCATGTCTCTCCTATCCTATGCGCCTTTAAATATCAGTGTGAAAGCGCATATGGGTTTACACAGCAGACCTGAGTGCGGACGAAGGAGGAAGGACTGTTTATCGCTGCACACCGGTCCAATATGAGATCTGAAGATTAAAATCGTCTGATATACATTTTGTTCCCGTTATTATCAACGTAAGTTGTTTGACTTTTTTTTATTTTTCTTTGAATCTTAGCATTGTCGTCTACAGTTCGTCGCTTGGCTTTATAATTCAAAATCCTTTTAATTTTCTTAAATTAATTTTTAGCGCACTGTGTCGTCTGTGTAAAGCGTACAGTATGTTGTTAAAATGTAAGGCTCACCTCTCCGCGTAATACTGTAATGTAAGGAACACAAATGATCTCCATTCCATCCGTTTTATTAAGAATGCAACGGAATACAACAATTCTGCTTTCGGTATTTGCAAATAAATACGATTTATCATACAAACATACATATACTGTAGCACTCTAGTTTAAAGAAAATATTTTAGAAAGGATGGTTAAACTGACAACTTGTCAAACGTGTCTTGTAGCATGCACAACTGTGCCTGCAATCACGAATTAAACAGGACGCAGACATTGGAAAGTGTTGTTTCCACACTCTGTGTGACCTTTTTATGCTTTGTTACTCAAAATATTAATAACTGCTAATAGCTTAGGCAATGAAAATCAATGCACAAAATACACTTTTATCATAGTGGAATCAAACACTGTACATTTCAAGTGTGGTTCAAATATGTTTGTTATCTCCTCATGACTGATTGACTTTCTTTTTAAAATGTATTTTGCTGACGTAGGCTTTGATGGTTAGGAACACTATTAAAAACCGAGGGCTGTGTCTGTGCGTATAGTGTTTCAGTAATGGTAGTCTACGGGAAAAATCAATACGCTCCAGAGCACAGATACGTATCAACCAGTCCCGCGCAGGCATGAAAAGAATTAAGCGTTCTGTCAGTAGTGCGTAGTGTCTTTTCTTAGGACACGTGCAGATTTATTTCACATGTTTGTCTTCTTTGGATTAATTACTATCCGGTTTACATATTAAGCATTTTTTCAGACAGCTTATTGCTGCTCCTTGTGTTTTATTTTAAAATCACATATGGAGAAAGATAAATACAGTGGAAATTATAACAGCCATGATTCAGATTCACAATGTAAGTACTGTATTACCTGCAGTACTGTATGTCTGTAAAATTACGTATTACATACTGTAATATTGTTGTTATTCTGGTTAGTCATCTCATGAGAAATGCAGCATAAATGCAAAAATCTAATGTTGAGATTTTATATGTATAGAAATATTTTTTACATCTATAAAATATATGTAATCACGTGCAGTATACGTCTAATATTCCACATTATAATTTCTGTGGAACAACAACTATAAAACATTGTAATAGTAATGCAGTTGTGGAGGTTTCTGTGTTTAATACAAGCACACAGACTAAAGATTCCACCTGTCACAGACTAAAGATTCCATTTCATAATGTTTCCTGTAAAACAAATACAGCTCATGGAAACTATCTTGATAACTACAGTAGGTATATGTACAGTTGTGTTAGCAATATTTTTAACTGTGGATCTACAGTGCATGCTCAGAAAATGGGCTAATCTTATGTGTTTTTCAGTAGTCTTAATGTACTAAAAAGAAGGCAGTTATGTGAAAAAATGCACCTGTTGTCCTTTCTAGGTTCACATCTGGAAGAATAATGCCTGAGCAAAGTAATGACTACAGAGTGGTAGTGTTTGGGGCTGGAGGAGTTGGCAAGAGTTCCTTGGTGCTGAGGTTTGTAAAGGGAACCTTCAGGGAGAGCTATATACCCACCATAGAGGATACCTACAGACAGGTGATCAGCTGTGACAAGAGCATCTGCACCTTGCAGATCACTGACACCACTGGAAGCCATCAGTTCCCTGCCATGCAGCGGCTGTCCATTTCCAAGGGGCATGCCTTTATCCTGGTCTATTCCATTACAAGCAAGCAGTCCTTAGAGGAGCTGAAACCGATCTTTGAGCAAGTCTGTCAAATCAAAGGTGACGTGGAGAGCATCCCAATCATGCTGGTGGGGAATAAGTGTGACGAGACACAGAACCGTGAGGTTGAGACCAGTGATGGAGAGGCTATGTCCAAGAAGTGGAAGTGTGCATTCATGGAGACTTCAGCTAAGACCAACCACAACGTCAAGGAGCTTTTCCAAGAGCTTCTGAACCTGGAGAAGCGCCGGACTGTCAGCCTTCAGATTGATGGGAAAAAGACCAAGCAGCAGAAGAGGAAAGAGAAGCTTAAGGGCAAATGTGTTGTGATGTGAGACAGCGAAGAAGGAAGTCTTCTGCTGAAAGCATTGCGTTGCGATACGCTAAGACTATGACAAAAATCTTCCTGTCATGCCGGATAATTAGGGAACACAAGTATTTACACTAATTATGGAAAGGAGGAGAGGGTGGTATATTTTAGAATCAATAATTGTTTCACATTTTAACACAGAACAAAAAAAAAAACAGTTCCTCTATCTCAGCAAAATATGTAGAATCTTTTAATTGATCAATAGTTCCAGTCTGCGACTGAATGGAAAAAACAAAACCAGTTTACTTTAATGCTAAATATCTTATTTCAACCTTTCCTACAGTTTCCCAGTCCCTTCCACTACCGCTTGTTTCTACAGAGAGAGGCAGCAAAGTTTGATGATGGCATGGGCCTTAGTTAACATTTATTAAACATTGTCTCAAATACTAGATGATAGGATATGAAACAAGTAAAATAAAAAATAAAAAAGATTTAAGATGACCATACTTAAGAAACACCCCCCCCCCTTCTTAATACAGATAACTATACATCTCCAAAGAGCAGTGCTATACTAAAGCAATACTTGTGAATGTCTGAAGTTAACAGGATCTTTGAGAAGCTGCAATGTAATTAACTGTTCTCGATGCTGAGTGAAAGCTTTATGATTCAAAATGCTTCAATGAACTGTTTTCATTTTTCCTCTTCTCATAATTTCAGTTATAGTGATACCGTTGTATTTCATACTGTCTTATTTTTGCTGCTGATTTTCAGAGGGTCCAGCAGAAAATAAATCCTGTTTTAGAAAATAATGAAAATCACAATCTCATAAAAATAACACTGGGAATTAATGCAAAGGCATAGTTTATAGTGCAGATAAGCTAAGAAGGATGTTGTTCCTTGGAAGGAGATGGATTCTCATGAGATAAAGAGGCAATATAATCACATTTTTCAATGTTCTGTTTCATTTATGCAAAGCAAATGCATACCTGATGTAATTTCACCAAATTAATGGCAAAATAGGTTTACTTACTTTTATTTCCTGACCATCCGTTATTAGTTAGATGAATGATGCAAAACCGCATCCATATCAGGCAGTGGCTACTTGTAAAGTGACAAAGCCTAAATTGTCACTTTTATATTCTATGGCCCCAGTGAAATAAACAATGATCATTTTTAGATTGCACTACAATCAAAGCCTGCTGCCTGTTATAGGTCAGATTAAGGTAATCAATACCCATTTTCTTAATGAATGCTGAAGAAGAATCTCCTCTATAGTTTCTGTAGGATGCGAAAAGATTTTGCTCTTATTTTTATGCACTTGCAGGTTGCAAATATTAGAATTATAGGATTTTTTTTTCATAGAAGAAACTTGTTAATTGTAACCTCAATCAAAATTTTTAACCCTTGCTTAAAATGTTTACATAGTAAACATAGTAAGTAAATGGTTAGTAACCTCTTTCAAACATCGCCCCTCATAAGGGTCAGAAAGAGATAAGATAAACATGTGCTATTTTCTTATTTGTGTAAAAGTTTTTCAAAGTAACATTTTTAGGTAAGTTATTTTTCATTCTTTTGAACAGTAAGTTCATATTTGCAATTTCGTATTCCAGTTGCAAGTGAAAACGTACTTAAAAAGATTTAGTCACTTTAGTATTGATCTGTGTAGTCCTTTAAAGAGCTTGTTTGTCCCACATATATGTGTTCTTTTGCACTCCTGACAAGAAATAACATTTAACAGACTATTCCCTTTTTCGAATGTTACAAAAAAGAAAAGGTTGAATTGACAAAGCTGCATATATATATATGTTTAAAGTGTGTGTTTAATTAAAATTTTTGTCCTTCCGTTATTTAATGTTGCAAAGTAGCTCTTAAAGAGGAAGACACTAACCTGTTAAAACAAAAAAAAACTTAAACTGTGTTGTAGATCAATTTTGAAATGCTGTTAAAACGTGCTGAAAGCGTCAACTGAATCGTCAAAGATGAAGCACATAACACAAGTAGAAACATTAGTGGAGTTTTACTCTTAATTGTTTAGAAAGTGTGAAATATGTAGTTATAAGGAAATATTTTGTAAAATAACATACAGTACCAATGATGCTTCCAAGCATTTGATTATTTTTCTTTCTCAAAACAGAATGTTCCCAAAATTCATAGATTTTCCCCATTATAATGCTATTTTTTTGTTTGGTATTAGATGTTTTATATCAGTTTTATTTGTTTTGTATCTGATCACTTTAAAGAAACATTGTTTTCAGAAAGTAGTATTTAGGGGAAAATATTTATTTATTTAAAGTTAAATATTGAAGAAGATTTAGACAATTTCATAGACTTAAGAGGGAAAGAGCACACCAGTGTATATATTTTACTATATAAAATTCCTGTCGAATAAACTGTTAACCTGCTAGTTCATATTGCTGCTTTTGGGTATCTTGTAAATTGACTCAAAAAGTCAAATATTTACCTGTTTATGAATACCATATAATGTATGTTAGACAATGTATAAAGGTCCTTAAAAGATCTAAATGGTATGAAGTAAACTGGTTTATAGCATTATGTCAGAATAAACTGCTGTTCTGGAGAAAATAACAATGCACAGATATATGGCCTGGGAAAGTGCTTAAAGCATGATTTCTGCAGCTATGTTAAAAACGTTTGTATAATAAATTAAAATTGTATTTAGTTAAGTTCTATGGTTTTGTTTATATGCCTGTATAGAATTCATGTGTGCCTACAAGTTTATATTTTCCAGTTCTATCTTGTATATATCATGCCACAAAAATAAAGTAAATTAAGCATTTAATACAGCATACGTGTATTCATTAAAATGGCATGCATTTCTATGTTATAAGACCATAAGAAAGAAGTAGATTTTGCCCATGTTGCTCATTTGATTTGAAAGTAGATTTACAGGTCCACATTTTTTTTGTCAGGGTGTGCCTAAAAGGATCCCAGAAAAAAAAAAACAGATCCAGGAGCATGACTACATGTCATGAAAATTAACCACTACTTTAAGCACTATGATATTACTTTTATTTTAACACTACCAAACTTTTACAATTAAATTAAAATATTTGAAGTATGTATCACATGTGCAAAATTATTTTAAGAAATACATTTCCTAATTTATTTGTGAAGTTGATAAATTATGTTATATATTTGTAAATATAATACAGTGTCCAAAGTAATGCTTCTGATTTTGACTCCCAATTGCATATGAATGCAGAAGATTAAGAGATTGATACTGTGGGCTGAAAAAAGGAAAGGTGTATTCAAACACATCACACACATACTGTAGCTGGACAGAGACAAGATGGAAGACGAAGCAATAAAACAAGCTAAATAAAGGGTAGTGACTGTTTAGAGCCAACCTTCACAATGATAAGTCGGAGCAGTCCTAGTCTCAGTCAGCCTGGTCTTCCTAGGGATTTCTCTAAGCTTAAATCCTCTAATGCCCGGTTCAGACTGCTCAATCTTTCTTAGTAACATGAACACTTGCTCTCCATAGCCTACAATAGAAATCAACCATCAATGCATGTATACAGTATACAATGTACTTCCTAATCGAGACTTTATTACGTGAGTAATGAGATGAAAACATAAATATTTAACATTTATTTAAACATTTATAATATTAACATATAACATAACATAATAACAACATATTTGACTGTGAACATCACAGTATACTTTATGTATTTTACAGTATATATTCAGAACCAAAGTCAACACATCCTTGGAGCCAATGCTATTCGTTGATAAATTTACCAATACATGTACACTCTAAAGCAAAGAGGTGGTATTTTGTTTTTTGGCTTTACAACATACAGTATTATTAAAGTGATACTTCTTGTGAAAAAAGCAATTATATGTGCATGTTCAGTGTTAAGGCATGTCCATTATCTTATTTTTTCTGACATTATATGCTGTGGTTCATTAGTTTATACTGATTATCACATCAGTAGCCAACATACTGTACACTACAATATACTGTACACATTAATGGTACTGTAGTTAATTCATTTATGCATAGAACTGTGCTTCAGTGTTCCTGTCTGCTTTCAGATGTTCTGTACAAAATGGAGCACCTGCATATGCCAAGAAAATTTAACACTGCAGCTGTGGACTTCTGGCAGTCCAAACAGCATTTACTGTAGCATTGGATTTTTAAATAAGTAAATAAGTAAAGCAGTGCTGCATAGCTGGTCAAGCACACTCAGCACAGAGCTGTCCAGTGTTCTGAATTATGCTTTTTACAGCAGTGTACTGTTGTGGGAAAGATTAGAAATGGCCCTATATATCAGCATAGCTTCTTAATACAATGCACATACATGAATAAAAATATATACAATATACAGTCTTAAAATGTCAACAAAAGAGCAAGAATGCATCTTGTGCAAGAATTCCAGCATTTTTTATATGTTCAAATCAACATTAACATCAGAGTTTATGTCATATATTAATTAATATGCTTTATATCCTCCGATCAAACCTACTGTATGTATACCTTAAATCTAGCTGATATCTGCACATTTTAAGGGCCAGGGAAAGAGTGGGAAGTCTCTCTCATGCTCCTTAACCTAGCTTTACTTTGAAAGTCCATTTGAGAGTCGGTTCCTAATATTTTGGATAGTAATTAGACTAACTTTTGATCCAACATTTTCTGCTACTGTATGTTCCACTTCTTCATCACATTTAGATGTAATTTTGATGCATTTTGATTGAAGTGCACAACTAATCCAGAGCCAATGAGTGCTGTAGCCATATAATCTCCAGCTCAGTTTCAATGCTCACTTTCCTATCAAATATTATCCTGTGTTTAGCAGCTCATCATTTGCACATTAGTGGTGTAGTTGGTTCTCCTAAATGCCCATAAAAAAATCAATCTCACATCACTGAAAATACTCCCACGGGAAAATATGGCCTTTTTGTTTTGCTTTTTGTTTTGAGTGAAAAAAAAAGAGAAGAAAGCTTTCCACATCTGCAGCTTTTAAAAACATCACATAGTTGTGGTTAGCCTGTATCTTTTCAACTATATTGTCTTAATATTTCCTTTAAAAGATGCAACCACAGAAGCAAGTGTCTTACCAATATCTCCCACCTGAGTCATCCCACCTGACAAAGTTAGGATTCTTCTTTCTGTGGAGAAGCAAATGGAAAGTTTACATACAGTCAGGTTTATTCACTCAGTTGTGAAGAAATGCACTGGAAGCATTATGGTGCATTATGGGAGGAGGTTAAATTCTAATCTTGTTCTCTGGGTCTCACTTTGTTGCAGATGGCCATGTTTTGCACTCGTCTTTGCTGGGTTACCTTAATCACCTGCAAAGTCAGGATCAGAGTCGCCTTTTCACTTCTTTTGTCTCAAACGTCCGCTGAAAACAGGCAGCTCTGCTACCGCCATGTTGTCTGTGTTTTTTTCTATCAGTGCTCTTGATGTCATCAAGCCTTCCAGAAACCTCAAACAACTCTATGTCTGCCCTGTTTCCTTCCCTTCTCTCTCCTCCTAATCCATCCTGTTCAGCTCTATTTCTGTGACCTCTGTCCCTCTGTTTCTGTTTGATCATCCAATTCAATGTACCTATGGCACTGGCCTTTGTCTGTTTTTTCATCTCTTCCCCCTCTCCAGTCCCTCTTTTTGCTGTCCAACACAGGAACCTTCACTCACTGACACCCGCTCTGTACCACAGGTGTGAGCGCATGTTGTCAATCTGCACTACATCCGGAGCTCCTTGGTCACACTCACGCTGTCACTTAGAGCTCAGGCCTAGACTGCTTAAGCAATAAGTCCCCCCCCCATTCCCATTATAATCACCCTATTTGGTTGGAGTCCAGTTAATGCGGTACCAGCACTCAACCCTTTACTCTCCCAAAGCCTCCAGCCACATACCGAGCCGATATTTCAACTTCTTCTAGGGGTTCTACTTACAATATGTTCTCATCCATTACATCAGATTTCAGCAAACAATATCTCTCTCCCTTCGTCTGTCAGGCATGTTCCACTCTACACCATAGAGTTCCAATATCCAGTTAGTCCAGCTAGCTGCTTCAGTAGTGCCGCCGTCTGTTTGCTGCCATCACGTGCTTTTCATGCACTGCTTATTGGAATCTACTCAATCGAACAAGCTCAATCAAACTGCCTTGCTCTTAGCTTAGTGTTCGAAATCTGCAGTGGTGGTCTGAGGATACTTCTCTGAATTTATCCCTTTATGTCAGTTGTCTCATTTTATATTTGTTGTCTCGTGTTATATTAGTCGTCATTAGAATTTGACTGAACAGCAGAACTGCAATTAGTCAGATACCATATCATTTGAATAATGAACTTGCTAATTGCAGAAAATAAATGAATTATATTATTGTTAATGAATATGCTTATGATGGAGAATGAACTGTCAGGGCTTGGCATTATGACTACATTACAGACCAACAGATATTGTAACTACTAAAACAAACAATGCTTCTACTTCTCATTTTATTGTGCAAATGTAATAAATTTAACCAGTCCTCTCTAAATACCTCTAAATCTCTATAAGATCTCTAAATCCCAATACCTCTCTAAATATGATAGTTTAAACAATGAATTCTATTTTAGGGATGTGTTTAGATTTGAAGGTTTTTTAATGTCACCTTCAAAGGCATAAAGTAATGTCAATGAGGAAAGAATTGCTTGTGATCCCTGGATATTATCATATTGAGTGCCTGTCTAAAGATATTTTTCTTTTTTCCCGACTGTTTATAAAAACCCTTAGCATTTAATGTGATGATAAATGTAAATTTAGAAGAGCTGGCCCAGTGAGATATTGGAATGAAAATACTTCTGTCTGGAATTGAAATTGTATACATTATGTAATAAGGACAATATGACTGACATTGAAGTTTATTTTAAGTGAAGTTGTGGTCTTTTGCTTTCTGCTGTAGCTCAACATATTAATCACAATAAAAGGATAAAAGGATGTAAAATCTTGAGATAACTAATGATATCAGATAAAATGTTTCTGAAAAAGAATAACATTTTTTGCTCATAAAGTCACATATTAATGTGAAAGTAAATACAGTATCTTATGGTTTTGTATGTATATTTTTATTTATTTTTGGAAAATATTACTGTAAAGCACAAAGGAAAGAATTACAGATTCTAAATACGCATTCTAAAATCATGAGCCTTTCCTTTGTTGACTTAAGGTTCCTGCCTAACCACAATATGCACCTCTACCTTTCCTTGCAATTTTGAGACTTGTTCAGTAATCAAAAAGATTAAGTGCTAAATCATGCTGCTCTTAGCTACAGTATATTGCTTTATTTTCCTAAACAATCTTGTCACATGAAGAGGTGGGTGGTGAGGAATAGGCCAAACATAAACACTTTGCATTGATTAAAGATAAAAAATCTAAAGGCAACAGCCTGTAACTGTTGAGTTCAACATATTTCATGTAAGGAGGATTCCCTCTCTTCAAGAGGCAGCCTTACAGTAGTCAAGAGCACAAAAAGGAGATACTAGGGTATAGGTGAGGCAAATCCCAGATGCAAAACAGAGAAATCACCATGGAGACTACCAGGGAGGCCTCCAGTCTCAAGGGGTAGATGTGGTGCAAAATGAAAATCCTACAAAGTCTATGTAATTCAGTTGGGTGTAGGATGGAAACAAGGAACATGGTACTGTATCTATAAATAAACAAAAGAATGCACAGATGGCATAGGATTCAAAGGAAATAAAAAACAATGATCCATAATTTGTTTTGACTCCTGTTCTAAATGTGTCATCAGATTAGAGAGTAGTACTAAACAGAGAGGGATTTGGAAAGA